AACGTAAACTTTGAGCTGTAAAAAAGAATAGTACTGGTTATATACTCAGTGATGATGGAACGGTTTCATGAAAAAAAATGGACGGGCTTGATTCAACGGTCAGTCAAATTAAAGATAAAAATAATTAAAGCACTATTTAGTTTACGCTATTAAATATACGAAAACACGACGAGTTCGTGTAGTGTTGTTATATACCATAATCATGTCTAATTTTAGGGCCATAGCCTTTCAAGTCAGTAACTTGTAGCAAAGAGTGCTCATATTTATTTCATGTATATTAACGGGAAAAAAACAAATCTGAATTTATAGTCGTTACAACGACTACACAGGTCTCAGCTGAATCAATCCATTTTGATAAGCTGAAAATTACCTCCAACTACAAAGCCACTCGCCAAGGGCTTACCTTACAAAAAAGCAATGACGGAAATTTGAATGATAACAGTCAACAACAGTTTACCATTTTCCTCATGCAGTCATTCATATGATCTGTGTGGTTTTAAGTCACGATTCAATATATATACTACGCGCACTCAAAATTCTGACTGAATTATCATATTCGGAAAAGAGCGAATAAGGTCTAACAAAAGTTTTTCCAAAGATGCCTTCATTGTTTTCAAGTCGAAGACGAGGGAAATTTTCTGTCGGTGACTTAATTTTAACTGATGACGTTAACAGTGGGCTCAAAAGAGCAAGATAACACGAAAAAGCTCTCGCAATAATTTCAATGACGCACACACTTTGTTGTTCTAAAATGGGTTACTTCTGCATTCTAACCAGTCAGTGACAACCTCAAGTTATCGACAGTTAAACTAGAGCCAACATTCAATAAGTATGATGACTCTTGTTTTCTCAGATTTTTATCGCAGTTTTCTGTCCGTGACCCTTATCGTGGCGTGTCAAACGTCTGCTAAGCCAGGTAACAGCGCTAGCACGCCAGTCGGTTCTTCACCCACAAACCGATGTAAAAATGTCTACTTCAGTTCCATGCAGGAACACCAAACAAAAAGATTGGAACACTTCTTCAGGAAATGAATAAACAGCTTATGCACGTTAAAAATGATGTCAGCATTATCAAAGCGAGAAACATTTCATGTAAAGGTATGTTCACACTAGATCATCATTTTTCTTTTCCACTTTTGGAATTGTTCCTCAGATAAAGGAAATCCTATGGATTTTAATCTTGTCTATCCTGTCTTGATTAACCTCTTCTCATTTTGGAAGAATCTACAGAAACTCTCCTTAGGGAAATAAAAGAGACACTTCTCGAAATGCAAAATGACATTGCTTCTATCAAAGAAAACAAGACCCTTATTGAATCTCGACACACCTGTACTGAAGGTAAGAGACAAATGGAGAAGCTTGTCATGTTATCAACAAAGTCTTACGATTCTCGCGCAAATCCAGTTATGTCTTCCAACAGTTAAGAAGAACTGTGCTGAGCTGTACAAATCTGGTAAAACAACAAGCGGCGTTTATACAATCGACCCTGATGGTCTCGGTGCCTTTAAGTCTTCTGTGACCAAACGACAGCCGGTGGGGGAGGGGGGGTGGACAGTGTTTCAGAGGAGACTGGATGGCTCGGTTGACTTCCATCGCCGCTGGACCGATTACAAGAATAGCTTTGGTAATCTGTATGGTGAGTTTTGGCTGGGACTGGACAAGATACACCGTCTAACAACAACAATAAAGAACAAGATCCGTGTACATCTGATGGACACCAAAGGTAAAACTGCTTACGCCGAATACAACATGTTTGCTGTTTCCAGTGAGAAGAATAAATACAAGCTGAGCGTTGGAACATACTCAGGTAACCTCAGCAATAATTAAGAAATCTGTTGCTGTGAGAACTTGCAGTATTCATTGACTGAACTTGGAACAGCACTATCAACTGTGCCTTAATAAAACAAATTGGAATCCCTTAAGTATTCGCTAGCAGATATATAAATCAGAAAATGATAGCTCGTCGATGGGCTCTTTTTATAGTTGCATAGCACCATGGGACAAATTTCCTCCGCGTCCTTGATGACTTCACATTTTTCAGGAACTGCGGGCGATTCTCTTTCTCTTCATCGTGGCCAGCCCTTCGCAACCAAAGACAAGGACAGAAATCGCTGTGCTGTGACCTACATCGCTCCAACCTGAATGGACTGTACCATCACGGAGTGCACTCATGTTATGCCGACGGAGTCAACTGGTATGACTGGAAAGGATATCACTACTCTGTCAAGAAAGCTGAAATGAAAATCAGACCGGTGCAAGTTTAGAATTTTTGTTTTGTTTGTTTCCAAAAGTTGAAGTCACACACCTTAACACCTACCACGAATGGCTCTACCTAACTACAATTCGGTCGTGATCTACTCGCCTGATCCCTGGACGGGCTACTTTGTTCATCTAATCGAGACTTAAAGAGAGCTCGAGTACAATAAAAACGCTCAAGATCCTAAAAGGAAAACAGTGTTTGACTTCAATTTCAAGGATTTTTCAAAGGAATCCACTGCAAAAAGGGGGGGTGGGGGTGGGGGGGGGGGTTTAATATTGTCGGTAGAGAAAACAGAAAAGCGCCTCCACAGATATAGACAAAACTCTGGATTAATTCTAGAAAATTTTTATAAGGTCAATAAAATAAAGCAAAATATGCTTGTTGTGTCATCCAATTGGTCGTGAGCATACAATCAATATGACATAGCGTGTAAAGTTGACATGATACCCAATATGTAAAGCAGATGTTGGGTTATCATCTCTTCCAAGCCCCTCGTTCGTGTCGTGTTCTCAAACTTTTGAAGTGTTTTTCTTTGGCAGGTTGTTTAAAAATTTTATAATACAACAATTAATGAGTTCAGTTTTCGCATGATATCATGAATTATCAAACCTCGTGAGAGTTTTTCTCAGCCAGGCCTTCCATTTTGGCCGTGCTACTGCCATAAAAATAAAAAACTTCGAATGATCCGTATATTCAATAGGGACTTTATGCAATCGGGACGACAACAAGGAAGACGTCGTTTTAAAAATAAATTCATAATTTAGGCAGAATTTCGCGAAATTGCTGGCTCCACTTCTAAACCTCAGTATAGCGTATGTCAGCAGTGTTAAGTTGCAAATTGAAACGTAAATAATTCTCTTTCGGGGTTCCTGTTCTCAGACTACGCAAATTTTGGTGCTTCCACGTTGTTTTTTAACGGTGGATGGCTAAGAAATGTGCAAAGGCTTAAAACACACGTGCTGAGGCAATGTTCTGCTTATAGATCTTATGTTTTGCTGTCATGTCCTCGTTGCCGCCAGCTTTTTAATTAAGAACTTCCAAATTGGTCTGATCTCGGCTTAGAAGAATTAATGAATTTGTTTTTAGCGATCCCCAGAAAATTGACGTATTTAACTGTGACAGAGATGAAGCTCTAAAATAATTATCATTTTTTCAATAACGCGTCTAACTAATTATATGCGGAATAGCAACTACGCATATTTTTTCTTCTCCATAACCCACCCCTCCAAAAAAAGGGAAAAAAAAGAAATAAATAAGGACTGTAACCGTCTAATTCACAGAAAAATAAAAAACCTAAGCCAGCATCACAATGGGTGCTCCTTATTTTGTAATATTGCAACCTAATATTCAATGAGGTACATAGCTGTTGAAGGATATGGAAAATTAACATTTATATGACGGAAAGAAATACGTTACCACAGCCATAAAAGTGTTTACAGATGGTTTTCGAGTCAATTCCTTTGAGTGGATTTATAGCGAGAAACCCAGTTTTTTGGTACCGTGGAGATCATAATTATTTTCTATAATTTTAAACTTTGGTAGCGATTATGGAGAAGCTTCTATTGCAGTTATAGCCAGCTAAAACTTCGGTACCATTAATCACACTCTTTTATATGTCTAACAGTCAGCAATAGAGGCTCTACCGGTCTGTTAACATAGCCTTACTTGTCCTTATTTAGGATTAAATAAAATGATCAGGAATGTTATTTGATCGAAAAACACTCAAATTATGACATCTGTAGTCAAAAACATCTGTTTCCTTCGCATTTATTCTTAAGTCAGAAAGTTGCATATTATCATATTTCGTTTTTCCTGTCTGCTATGACAAGAGGACGGCTGGAGGTGGGTTGAATATTCGTTTCCCTTATCCTCTCCTTTACCATTTTATTTTTGTTATTATGTTATCAGTGGTCAAATACTACTTTATTTTTGTGAGAATCGACCAGAGCTGTCTTCTTGTGCAACAATATCATGAACATCCATAAATTTGAGTAGTTAGTGAAAAACAGAACACTTTTTTCAAATAAACAACATCTGAGCTTTTTCAGGAACCACGCAAGTACAACATTACAGTACATACAAGTACGAAGGGTGAGTGACTCAATGTTACCTCTTCCTTTAATTTTTTTATCTTCGATCTTCTGTTTACGAGTCATCATACACATTCAATTTACATTTTGATAAAGTTTTGTGAGGACTGGTTGCCAAGGTAATAAGATATGATGTTTTGCATGAGACTGCTAATGTGCCATCGGGCTGTCATTTACGTTCACTGTATTTGTTTGGTCACAAACATCGAGTTTCTGCAATAAGACCTTTTACCTGTAGCATTTTTAGCTTTTGCATTAGTAAGTACAATGCAGTAGAAAAAGAGGAGATTGTTGGAAAGTGGAATTGGCTGCCACCATCCTCGTATCTCGGGCCGCATTTAAATGACCTTATAAGCCATTAATTCGAGCTTCAAAAAGACCGCATGACTGAGTGGAATCCAATTTGGTTTGTAATCACGCGAGTGATTAGCAAAATCGAACGACCGCGAAGCGGGAGTCGGATTTTTTAATCACAGGTTGCATCGCGAGTTGTAATAAAGTTTTACAGATATATGATATTTCATTTTCTTTCCCGAAGTTTTCACGTGTTCATAGTTTTTTATCCTTCATAATTTCAGTTCCTTAGATTGCAGTGACTTCTTGCCCCATCTTATCCCATCTTTCCCGGCCTCCCATCACTTCGATTCGTCCCTTATGAAGTCGATTTTACGTTTAGGCACCTGTTGTGTGAAGATCTGAACGCACGTCCAACGAACAGAATGCTAGAGACACATTGGCTTAGAGACGCTAGAAACTGTCTCTTGCTATTGCTTGTTACCAGTACTCTAAGCAACCTTCCATACGCAGAAACGACAAAGAAATGTAACACCAAGGCTGGTTAGTGGCAACCATGTGTATTTCTTTTTGCGTGTGTTTGCTCAACTTAATTAAGGTTACATCCTCACTGATCAAACCAAAATTTTTCTGATAAACTTATTGATGGAATTTTCTCTTTGCCGTCTAGCGATACCTGAAATAGAGATCCCCTCGAGTCCACCAGGTCGCACACTATTTGTAGGAGAAGCTCTTAATTTGACTTGTATAGCGTGGCCAAGGTCCGAGGACGTGCTATTTCCTAGGAGAAGGATCAAGTATATTCAGTGGTATGATCCTCAGAATAGCCCAGTTGGAGTCAAATGCATAAATCCTCAACTACTAAAAGAACTTCGTTGTACATTAATGCTCAAGGGCTTGACTTTAGCACAGTTTGGAAATTACACTTGTCAGGCAGAAAATGATTATGTTGGATATTGCCGGCGAAAAACTGTCGAAATTGGACAAGGTAAGCAACAACACTAACGTTATCTCCTCGAGAAACAAAATAAAGCGGTTACCAGACGTTTCGTACCCAGTCTTTTCGCACCAAAGTCGATTCGTACCAAGTCAGTTGAGTCATTTCGCACCCGTACCAAAAGCGATTTTCGAAACAACAGTAGCCTGAAGAGCAACACAGGACGACCTATTCCTTCTGGAACCCACGCGTTATCTTATCAGCTATTCCAAAACGTTTTGTAACTTTGATTTGCTTCTCGTCACACGAAATGATTTACATAAATTAATGGCAAAAATTGGACTGAAATTTAACAAGAGTAGGGGAGTGATTTTTTTCTTATCTGCTTACTTCCATCAGCCTTTTCTGGGTAGCTTGTAATTTCAGTCTCACGCGCCTTGCCATTCAAATCAGCTGTCATGATACTTCAAATTGAAAGGGACTTCTAAATGTTGTTGAGTAGAGAGGGGAATGTGGCCGAGTGTTAGGTGCATTAAACTGCGCATTGGAATTTACCTTCTATAGACTAACTTCCTCTCCATTGAAAGAAGACGGAGACGGAGTCGGATTTGTAAACATGAGCAAAGAGCGATACGATCAAGTAAAAATCAAATCGACAGAATCAGAAGAGAAATACCGTTATCACTTACGACTCCGTCGCTTACGATCCTTTTGAAGAATTGTCAGAGTCGTAGGGGGAAAACTGTGCTGGAAGGGCCTGAGAACTGGCATGTGATTGGTTATTTTTTTCCGATTCTGCTCGCGACTGCAACAACCTAGTTTTCACCACGGAAAAAACGAAACCGTTCTGATTCTTCTGAGTCCTATTCTGTCGAGCTTATGACTCCGCTTATGATTCTGTTTTTCAGTTTTCACTCGCTTGAAAGTGTTCTTACGACTCTGACTACGATTCCGACTCTAACTCCGTCGCCAGTGAAAACTTGCCTTTAGTAACAGCACTCTTAAGAGGCCCTAAGCCTAAGAAACGACCAATGATTTCTGGCTAAAAATTAAAATCGGCCGATTTTTATCTTCCAAATAGAGGTTACCTAATACTATTTAAAATGAATTTCTTTTGCTTCAGTTTAGCTTTAAACCAAAAATATCGAGCCGCGAACTTGTTAAGTCTGATTGTAGCAAAATCTGTCCCAAAATATTCACTTTCAAAAACCGGTTCAAAAATCACTATCGCAACACAAAATAATGAGAAAACTACGCAGTTATGAAGAAAAAGGCCTTTCGATGAAACATCATTCGATAAACATCGAAAAATTGCAGAAGCGAATGAAAAATTAAATTTTCAAATATTGCATATCAAATTAGAGGGAACGTTGGAGATGATTTTAAAATAATTATTTCTACAAAATCCAACGCTGTTGAAGGCAATCACAGTGGTGAATCAGACATAAGAAGGATATACGATACGTTTTCTGGAAAAACATTTTTCCACCAAAGTATATTGACCTTGTACAAAGCGTTCAAAGTTGCAGTGTTTACCGTTATGGTGCTACTTCGGCGAAACACTCTGTTGCCAATACGTCCATGGTAGCGTGGTAAATGTCACTTTAAACCTTGCTAAGCGCTCAAATACCATCCTAAATAGAATTATATGGTGTTAAAAGAGAAAGGAAGATGAAAAATAAGTAGAAAAAGAAAATAATTTACATTTGCCATCTGCTGAGGTGAGTCAAATCTTGGAAATGTTATCGCGTGACACCACTCATTTCTCCAAACTACGGCGGAATCCAAGCAACTGCGTAGAATATAAGTAGACTTGAAACAACTCTTCCGCCGCCAGAAATCCTGAAGTGAAACAGTTTTATATTATTGCCATGAATGATGATGAATTCAGGTGAAAATTAGCCTCAGATAGTATCCATTTGGTACTTAAGCGGGCTAGATGTATTTCGTTACATTCCAACGGACGTTACGGGTCAGCACTTACAGGGGTCAGCGGACGTAAAAATAGAAACAACCAGGTAATCTTTGTCTTAGCCTTGTAATAAAATTAAAACTTCATTTATTACTCACAGAGAAAATAAAGTGAACATATAATGAATATTGTGTACTGTCATAAAACACCTATAAGTTCTCAGCCCGTACTTCCTCGGAAAAGATATTTCTACAATTTAAGCATACATTAACTTGTACGTTTTTTCAGCATGTGTTTTTGTACATTCCTCTTCAGGAGCAAACGATGTAAAATTCGCATCTGCTTTATGTTTTATTTACGACAGGATGAACATATAGCTAATGGAAAGATAAAGAAAAGTAATCAAAAATATCCTGTAAGACAAGCACTGTAAAATAAGAAAATTTTTATGACAAAGAAATCCTCCAAAAGTTGTGAGTCTTTTTCTTACGTGAGCCTATCGGCACAGATATATCAAACAACTGAAACACCTCCTTGTCCATGGCAGGGTTGATCACGTCACGACTTTTGACGCTGGTAGATGGTCCTTTGTGCCCTGGATAGTGACACAGCTTTGAAGGCCTCCAGTACTCGCTCATACCATAGCGATGGCGAGCATAAACACGTTATGTTTTCACTTCTTCATGAGACAAACAGTCGAGGCCAGCCCTTTGCAGGATGACCTCGTATTCTTTCAGATTTGCACGCGACAAAAAACAATTTTTAGATGTGTAGTTACATCATCTCGGAATTCATACAGAAACACTGTCTCCGTGCGACCACGTGAGGATCCGCAGTCTAGGAAACCCTCTTTTGACAAAGTACAGGAATCCGCCATGATTATCTGGTTGTTTCTATTTTTACGTCCGCTGACCCCTGTAAGTGCTGACCCATAACGTCCGTTGGAATGTAACGAAATACATCTAGCCCGCCTAAGTACCAAATGGACACTATGAGGCTAATTTCACCTGAATTCATCATCATCATTCATGGCAATAATATAAAACTGTTTCACTTCAGGATTTCTGGCGGCGGTAGAGTTGTTTCAAGTTTACTTATATTCTACGCAGTTGCTTGGATTCCGCCGTAGTTTGGAGAAATGAGTGGTGTCACGCGATAACATTTCCAAGATTTATCTCACCTCAGTAGATGGTAAATGTAAATTATTTGCTTTTTCTACCTATTTTTCATCTTCCTTTCTCTTTTAATACCATACCATTCTATTTAGGATGGTATTTGAGCGGTTAGCAAGGTTTAAAGTGACATTTACCACGCTATCCATGGGTGTATTGGCAACAGAGAAGTGTTTCGCCGAAGTAGCAACATAACGGTAAACACTGCAACTTTGAACGCTTCGTACAAGGTCAATATACTTTGGCCGAAAAATGTTTTTACCAGAAACGTAACGTATATCTTTTTAATGTCTGATTCACCACTGTGATTGCCTTCAACAGTGTTGGATTTTGTAGAAATAATTATTTTAAAATCATCTCCAACGCTCCCTCTAATTTGATATGCAATATTTGAAAATTTATTTATCATTCGCTTCTGCAGTTTTTCGATGTTTGTGTTGCGATAGTGATTTTTGAACCGGTTTTTGAAAGGGCATATTTTAGGACAGATTTTGCTACAATCAGACGTAACAAGTTCGCGGCTCGATATTTTTGTTTTAAAGCGAAACTGAAGCAAAGAAATTCATTTTAAAATAGTATTAGGTTACCTCTACTTGGAAGAAATAAATCGGCTGATTTTAATTTTTAGCCAGAAATCATCGGTCGTTTCTAAGGCGCATGCACTCTTAAGTAGAGACGATGTAACATGGACAACAAGAAATGAAGAAGCATGTGTAAAATGGATTGCAAATGGAGAAAACGTGAGGCTAAATATTCCAGGATGTCTAAAACGTGGCAAAGCTCGCTTTTTGTTTTTGGAGTCTCGCTTATTAACCCACTTTTCCTGTTTTTATGTGCCCCCTTCAGTTTTTAAAAACATTTTTACGAGTTCTCAATTTTTTTTATCTTCTCCCAACACATTTTTTACTGTCATCTGGGATTGTCGGTGTCAGCTTTCCTGGCACCGAAGACTGTCGAGGATCCAAAGAACCAAACCGTCGTTGCTGGTTTCAACGTAACTTTAAACTGCACCGCCGAAGGTTCTCCCATGCCATCCATCAAATGGATAAAGAACAACGATTCGCTCGCTGTACAGTCCAACCCAAGAATAAAATACATTAAGACTGTTCTGGACTACAAACAAATTCATAGCCAACTGGTAATAGAAGATGCAAAGAAGAAAGATGAAGGAAAATATCACTGCGTTGCAAATAATACTGTGGGAGAAAAAGCATCCGACCCGGCTTTCTTGTCCATAGAGGATTTAGGTGAGACTTATGCTGTATATTACTTGTTAACTTGGCACCAGGTTTTATAATGGAAAGACCATTTTTTTCTTTAGAGAATGATGAAAAAAACTTTAAAGAAATTTTGGTCAAAGGGAAAGAGTTTTAGAAATCACAAAATTTAAGTTCTCTTTTTAAATGTGAAAATCCTTAAATAATGCACGGTATTTCTCTTTCATTTCTCTTACTCCTTTTTTTATGTTCTCCTAACAAAATTTTTACTGTCATCTGGAATTGTCGGTGTCAGCTTTCCTAGCACCAGAGACTGTCGAGGATCCAAAGAACCAAACCGTCGTTGCTGGTTTCAACGTAACTTTAAACTGCACTTCCAAAGGTTCTCCCATGCCATCCATCACATGGATAAAAAACAACGATCCACTTGCTATACAGTCCAACCCAAGAATAAAATACATTAAGACTGCCCTGGACGACAAACAAATTCATAGCCAACTGGTAATAGAAGATGCAAAGAAAGAAGATAAAGGAAAATATCACTGCGTTGCAAATAATACTGTGGGAGAAAAAGCATCCGACCCGGCTTTCTTGTCCATAGAGGATTTAGGTGAGACTTATGCTGTATATTACTTGTTAACTTGGCACCAGGTTTTATAATGGAAAGACCATTTTTTTCTTTGTAAAGGGATGAAAGAAACTTTAAAGAAATTTTGGTCACAGGGGAACAGTTTTAGAATTCACAAAAATTAAGTTCTCTTTTTAAATGTGAAAATCCTTAAATAATGCACGGTATTTCTCTTTCATTTCTCTTACTCCTTTTTTTATGTTCTCCTAACAAAATTTTTACTGTCATCTGGAATTGTCGGTGTCAGCTTTCCTAGCACCGGAGACTGTCGAGGATCCAAAGAACCAAACCGTCGTTGCTGGTTTCAACGTAACTTTAAACTGCACCGCCAAAGGTTCTCCCATGCCATCCATCACATGGATAAAAAACAACGATCCACTTGCTATACAGTCCAACCCAAGAATAAAATACATTAAGACTGCCCTGGACGACAAACAAATTCATAGCCAACTGGTAATAGAAGATGCAAAGAAAGAAGATAAAGGAAAATATCACTGCGTTGCAAATAATACTGTGGGAGAAAAAGCATCCGACCCGGCTTTCTTGTCCATAGAGGATTTAGGTGAGACTTATGCTGTATATTACTTCTTAACTTGGCATCAGGTTTTATCATGGAACGACCATTTTTTTCTTTGGAAAGGGATGAAAGAAACTTTGGCAAAAGGGAAAGTGCTTTAGATTTTTTTAAATTTAGGCAATTTTTAAATATACTTAATTAATGCACAGTATTTCCCTTTCATTCCTCTTACCGGGTATCAACATTTTTTATTTGCTTCCCGTACTTCTTTCACATCTTTGCTTTCAGATGAATGGGCGAGCACTGTTGAGGATCCGGTGAACCAAACTTGTATGATTTGTTGAATTTAATTACATTCTATAGCGCCGCAATGTGCGTTACTTAGGCCTCGTTTGAAGTTTTTTTGCTGTTGTTTTGTCAAGGTTAGTTTTAAGCTAAGGATTTTGAAGCTGTCTTGTAAGAAGCACTAATTTCGAATCGTCGCCGGATAGATCCTCGTATTTCAAATCGTTGTTTACAAGAATATAAGGAATCTGGATGTATACAGGTTGTTGTGTCATATTTATTTACGCCAAGCTTAGCTGGCCCCTACATAATTCAAAGTTAGAGTTCCTATGTCAAGATCTGTTTACATGAGTGGTTTGTCATCAGCTGACTGGCAAAAAGAAAAGAAAATCGGCCAGTAGTTCGAAGGTAACAGTTGTCTTTGAAGAATCGCACGTAAAGTAAATCGTCATGTTGCTGAAGAGGCGCCGAATAAATTGTCAGAAGTCAACGCGTTTAGGAGCGACGAGAGCGGTAGAAATTTGGATGTATGGCCATTGTTAGCCGTAGGCTACGTGGATTTAATTTCTGTTGGCGAAAATCTTCGAGGTTCAACTATGGAAACTAGGAAGAAAGCACCGAGCGAGATTTGTATGAAGAGGAAGTCAACACTGAGAGAGCTGTCCATGCTGGGCGTCGGAGAGCTGGACATTTAGGAGAACTGTGAAAACGTCGGAATGTCGTTCAAGATTTGATTACAAGCCCAGGAGTTGAAAAACAGAAGTAGAAGAAACCGTTGCCAGGTATGAAGAATGAATTGAGGGAGAAAAAGATGACAGAAGAAAAAAAGGCCTCCATCTGAGTCCAATTTTGGTCACCGGCGTCAGCTTTAGGAGGGAATCTCACTCCCTAGTTAGCTCTTTGACTCGACACTCTCCTTAACTAACTACAATACCTGCATCTGACACAATTCAGCCACCAGTGTACACTATTGAGAGCTTATCACCAGCGAGTTTCCGGTCAACATCCACTTATTATAGCAACAGCAACTGAAATTTACCCAGCATTTGTTTCACAGCTGACCTACCTTTGCCAATGCAGTACCCGTACCTCTCTCCTTAGTCACTGACCTCTGCGCAGCAGTCAGAAGTTTGGAAACAACTGAACAAGGGATCAAACAAGGTCCATCGCTACCAAAAGTAGAGTTAAAAAAGTTCAGTGGGAATGCGATAATTACGCTAATGAGAAAGCTTCCCGATGAAGGTCTTAAAAGAAAGTGGGTCGATAGAGCAGGAGATCTCATCAAGAGCAAAGGTCGAGCTGCGTATTTGGATTTTGTTAGTTTTTTTAGAGAGGCAGGACAACGTTTCAAAAATGGACATGAAAAAGAACTAAAGTTTTCTCCATGTGCTGGGAGGGAAAGTAAGGAATCTTCCAAAGGAAAGGCAGATTACACGCTTAAAGTCACAACACTTGCTACCCACAGTGAAGAAGATTAGCAGGGCACCGCCATACCTATCGGAGTTCCGCTGAAGTGTCCACAGTGCTCGGGACCGCATGGAGTCTGGAGCTGTCGGATATTTATAAGTTCCTCTTTAAGGGATCGTTCAAAGACTGTAAGACAACACCGACTTTGCAGAGCATGTCTCTCACAGGGACATAGCGCGGAACAGTGTCCCAAAAGGATTCCCATGCTTAAAACCAGGGTGTGGCTAAGACCATTATATCTAATCCATTTCAGTGTAGCCGACGGAAATGGGAGTGGCATCAAGACTAACGGCCATGATACCTTTCGAAGTGCTGAAAGGAATGGTGCAGCAAAAGGAACTTTCGCAGATCTCCGCTACGTTCCAGGGTCAATAGCCGCTAAGATTGGATCAGATAATCCTCCGAACACTACAACTCCACTTAGTGTGCCTGTTACTGTGGGCGTGGTAGGGACCAGTCGACCTCGAGTGTGCTTGAAGGTTGTCCCAGTTAAAATCAGTAGTCGTAATGGTGCCAAAGAGATATTTATTCATGTGAGTGTTCGTGGTCAGATGCTAGTTCCTGCCTCGAGGGCCTTGTGCGGGAGTTAGATTTGAATGATATGAAGCCGACTAGTGTTACGATGGCGACGGTCAATTGTGAACACAAAAGGACCGACCTTCAGGTTCAGCTGAACGTTACAACCTTAGCCATGTTTTAACCGCAGGGAGTCTTCCTTTTAAGCTAAGTTTCGTCATGGGTAAATCGCGCGTGAGACCACTGAAGAACGCAGTCACCTTGCCGTAGTTAGAATCAACCGCAGCTACTTGAATAAAGAAGATCTTAATTAAGTAACTCGAAGGAAGATTGAGGATTGACAGTGTTACTTACTGGAGTGATTCGATTCGATAATATTTCTGAAGTATATTGCCGACGAAACGCGAAGATTTGTTACCTTTGTTGCCAACCGAGTGGCCATTATACAGGAAGAGTCAGAACCAAGGCAGTGGCGCCATGTGAGATCAGAACACAACCCTGTAGACTATCCTTCTCGAGAAATAAAAGCCTCGGAGACCAAGAAACTATAAATGTGGAAACATTGAAATGGGGCAGAATCCTTATAGAAAAACGAGGAAGAATGGTCCCGCAGCCCAGAGAAGCTTCAGAAGTACTCCTAGATAGCGACGAAGGAGTTAAAAGACCGAAGATTACGGTTGGAGCAGCTGTCGTGCAAAAAAATTTTTGGTGTTTCCTGTTTCAACGTTATCCTAAATGGGATCGGCTGCGAAGATTAGTCGCGTGGCATATTCGTGTTTTTACACAGACTTACACATCCAAAATTACGGGCTGAACGAAACACAAGTTCAAATATAGAGTTGAAGCTCAGTCCCACCCCTTTATCAGTGCCCGAAGTGACTGAAGCAGAGAAGAGGATTGTGAAGGTTGTACAGAGACATTCATTTCCTATAGACATTGACAAGTCAGTGATAACAGGTCGACTCGCCTGACTTAAACCGTTTGAAGAAGAAGGGATATTATGCGTGTCGGACGAAGATTGAAGCATTCAGATCTAAAGTACGATGCTAAGTACCCAGTGGTATTGCCAGGAAAGCACCCAGTTACTGAGTTAATAATTCGTCACTATCACCATCTCAATGGACACGTAGGAGTCTATAATGTCTTAGCAGAAATAAGACAACGGCTTCGGATTGTCAGGGGAGTTTCTTCAGTGAAGCGTGTTCTCATCAAGTGTCACGTTTGCAGGCGTTATAATGCCAAGTTAGAAGAGCAAGTGACTGCACAACTTTCCATGGTTCGAGTCTCTTCTGACAGTCATAGGATTATCTATCCGTTTGCTGCCGTAGGATTAGACTATTCTGGACCGCTTTACGAAAGAAGTGGGCCCTAGACAAGATCGAGGAAGAATGCTACCCTAACCGAGCGTTTAGAATGCATGTTTACTTGCCTAAGATACTAAGCAGTTTACATTGAAGTGGCCGAAGACCTGTCTACAGATTACTTCATCAACGCAGTTCTACGCTTTGTTAGTAGACGAGGTCCCCCAATAGTTATTCACAGTAATAACGGTACTAAATTCAGAAGAGCCGAATTGGACGTTGTTAAGGCTTAGAAAGTGTGGGATCAAGAGAGGATCCAAGCCTTGACTAATAGAGGAATTGAATGGAAGTTCAATCCACCACCAGCGAGCCACCGAGGGGGAGTCTGGGAAAGACTCATAAGCTCGATCAGAAGAATCTTGTACTCATTAATTGGAGAGCGACTTCTCAACGATGAACCTTTGTGAACGTTTTTGGTAGAAATTGAGAAAATCTTGAACGACAGACCGATAACTTCAGTGTCGAGTGACCCGCCAGACTTATGCCGAGCCATATTCATCTGTTACGTAGAAACCCGTCCTTTTTCCTAAACGTGTTTGAAGAGTCGGACAAGTTCAAGGCAAGATGGAACATATTCATCTTCTCGGAAACGAATTTTGGTGCAGATGGACGAAAGAGTACTTGCCGACGCTCCAGGTGCGACAGAAATGGCTATGTCCGAAGCCTAACCTCAGAGTTGATGAATTGGTTTTTAGGATGGCAGACAGGAACATGCCTCGAGAGCAGAGGCCAAAAGCTTAAGTGGAGCGGACCTTCTCGGACAGTGAAGGGATAGTACGCCAATTAATCGTTAGAACAACAGAAGGAGTATACCGCAGAGACACAACTTTAGACTGAGAAACAAAACAAACCATTTCAAGCCAGAACAACTCAGTGAACAGCAATTGCGTTAATTTTAGAAAGACTCCATTGTCATCTTTCGGGGAGAGAGGGTGTATAATTCGTTGAATTGTGTACTTACACACTATAGCACCGCTAACAATATACTTAGGGCGCAGTTTCTCGCACCGTGTGCATTGCTTGGGCGTCGTTTGTAGTTTTTTGCCTTTTTTTGTCAAGTTTAGTTTTTAGCTAAGGATTTTGAGGCAATCCTGTTAGAAGCAGCAACTTCGAATTGTCGCCGAATAGATCCTCGTATGTAAATCGTTCTTTACAAGAATACAAGGAATCTGAACGCATACAAGTTGTTGTGTCGTATTTATTTTCGCTAAGCGTAGCCGGCCCCTACAAAACTGCTTTTTTCGGTTCCAATGTAACTTTTAACTGTTCTGCAGCTGGTCTTCCGAAGCCAAATATCACATGGGTCAAGAACAATAATTCGAATGCTGCAAACTCAAACCCAAGGGCAAGAGTAATTCCAATTTTACTGGATGACAAAAAAATAATTCAAAGTTAGCTGTCAATAAGAGAAGTGAAGGAAGAAGACGACGGAAAAAATTATTGTGTTAAAAAGAGCAGCGCTGGAGAAATAGCATCGAAATATGCGTTCTTGTTCATTAAGCAGCTAGGCGAGGTCGCACATT